ATTCAGCTGATAGATGGGGCGGACTTTGAAAATGTTGCCAACGCTGCACAGCATCGACTGCTCTGATCCATTCACACCGCTGACAGATCCGCTCGCCTCCCACTTTCCAACGAACAATCAAACAAATACATTCTAGTTTTGTTACGGCTCGTCGTTCTCAAGAGCCCACCAAGCCTAGTCCTCACCGCTGGCTGTTGTTAATGGACAAAGACACGGTCAACCCACAATGCATCAGGGCCAGCTGAGATGTGTGTCCTTTTTTAATGTCCTGAGCCTTTTGCTTGGTCTACACATAACGCCAAAGAGACATTAACCTTTCACGTGTGTTCATTTATTATGTAAATAAGACTGTGTTGCTGATTTAGCCACTTTTTACTCCATTAGTGACTTTATTTTAAAAACAGACCCTCGTGGATTAATGACAGAAAACAACAATAACAATACTTTATTAAAGGCTGTAAATGTACTACTTTCCTTTGAAGACAGGCTCAAATCATTCAAAATGTGAATCTGCACTTTGCTTATTTTAGTTTAGCTTTTTGCGGAAATTGTGTTTGTTATTCACAACTCGTTTAAAATCATATTTGGATTTACTACTACTACTTTTATTAAAATGCAGTACCATCGGAGCCATTTAATACCGACTTTACAGAACCAGAGGTGTAGGTTTCTTAGACCGTAATGACACTGTTGTTATGAGAGCCAACAAATCCAAATGTTTGAGACGAGCCTGTTATATCCATGGCTTTAACACTTCTTAATTGAGCAGTCATTTTCAATACTGCCACCAACACAAGCATTAGTTTGTTATAGAGACGTTTACTGGGAAAAACAATCATTCTATTTGATTTAGAGAGAGATGTGTTTTCACACTTCATTACAGTCTTCAAAGATTTTCAAAGGAGCCGGTCTCATGGCCATTACATCGCTTTCACACATGGATGTAAAGTGGCAGGCTCTCTTTATTCCCACAAGCCCTGTGCTCGCATGCATGCGTGTCATTGATATGCTCTGCTTCAGTTGGACAATGATTTTATTTGCCACTATACTGTACCTGCAGTTAATTCAGGGTTATCAGCTTTTCCTTTAAGTTATGTTGTTGAGTTGAAGTAGATACAACCTTTCTTCCCTTTTCCACCGCAGTCTATACATGCCTTGTCTCGTTTGGACATGTATTTCTTTCATTGCTTTACATTTATCTGATGCTTTTATCCAGAGAAGATAAAGATACGCCATGAAGATAGAAAATCAAAACGGCGAGATTCCTGTACATTAAGTGCTACGACATTAGCTTTAAATATATGCAGTCGAAACAGGTGGGTTTTCAGTATAAAAAACCACCTGACGGAAGATGTGTCAACTTTATTCTCTCCTGATATCGGCGGGGTGCTAGTTCCACCGTTTTTGAAGCCAGGACTTGACTGATATTAAAAATCAAACTCTACAAACTGGATAAGTTGTCGCCCTCTCGCTTCGGGGGGCATTGCTCCCCAATTTGAGCCTTCCTCATGTTGCGCTGCTGGATGCCTCTCCAGTCTTCAAGTAGTGCCTTCTGAACAGATCATAATTGGGTCTTAGGGCACTTCAGCAATTGGTTTCAGAATTCAGACATCACAAGTCGCTGCTTGGAGTGTGTGTATGTGTGTGTGTGTGTGTGTGTGTGAAAGTTGCATGATTATTTTACTTTTTGGATTTGGCCCTCACGTAAGGCAGTCAGACAATACAGGGATACATTAATTAAGGAATCTGTAACTTCCCCAGTTTTTCATTCAGTTTTTGTGATACTTTTAGTGAAGAATAAAAGTTAAGAGTACATTTTGTATTCTTAATTTACAGCAGAATAATAGGATCATCTGTCTGTCCTTCTGTTTGTGCTCTTATCTGTTTTTGTAAGAGATTGGAATAGGAAAGTCTGAATCTGAACATCTTATCGTTATTATTCCCAAAACTTAAAGCAGTAATATGAAACAATTATAGCAGGAAAGTGAATAATACAAAAATAGAAGGCACCAGTTGAATGATATTACATTTACAAAAAGTACACAAAAGAGGTTGTTGTACTCTATTAGTAGTATCATTAGAATGATTATTGCCATGTGTTTTTGTGTTTGTGAACAACACACTGTGGTTGACAGATCTGTTATGACGGCAGTGAATAAAGTGGATGAAAGGCAATTTGCCTGGCTGCTTTCCCCTCACTGAGCTTTGTGTGTCTGTGTCACTTCAATACATCTGATCTGTGTGTTTGTGTGTGTGGGACTGTGCGCACAGATTGCACGCTTTGATAAACCCGTGTTTACCTCTGCATTCTTCGTGTTTGCGACATCTTATCAAGCATGTGCAATTACAGGGAACAATTAGCGTGGAGTGGTTTCAGCTCTGCAGCCGAGTCATGTGCCCTGCAAAGAACACACGCTTTGAACGGACGACAGGTGGGCCTTCTTTCTTTTACTCTCATAAATCCACCTGTCCAAAGCCACCTGGTCTGAACCCTGGAGAAAGCAGAGACTTTAGTGTTCTTCTGTTGATCCTCAGGTAGAGCCTGGAGGGGGTTTGAATACAGTTGGAGTGTTGCCAACTTAGCGATTGTTCATGATTTAAAGACACATTTCAGATTGTATTTCTATAAAAGAACACAGAAATAAATCCTTTCTTTAATGACAGAAAAGCACTAACCATTCTCAAGAGTTTTTTTGGCATAATATGCAAGGAATATACGAGCTCTTATGCTACAGTAGTTACATTTCCAAAACATTATATTGTGTGCAAGGGCACTCACTTCTGTGTGTTACTCCATAATTGATGCTACTTAATTTGTTACATCATTTGGGTCATTCTTGTTGTCTAAGTCTCCTTACTTTAAGACTTAGTATTTGTTTAGGTGACTCTGTACTTTCATACATTTGATCTCACTTTAAATAAAGTCTAAGCTGGTATTATAAATAGTTATTTGTAATATAAGAATCAGTAATTGCCTACATTTTCCAAAAATGCAAGAACATTCACATAGGTTTTATTTATCAGGTCTTTGCACTGGCAGAAGAAATACACTTCCTTTTGTATAAATGATTTAACAGCCTAGGGAATCTGTTGTATATTATTATTATTGACTTGTTTTATTTAATCTACAGACTCAATTAAATAGTTGTCACCAAACATGTTGATTTGCTCATGATATCATCCTAGCTACTCCAGTTGAAGCCTTCGCAGCACCAGCAGGGTATTTGAATGCTCTTTGCACAACCTTGGGTTACGGTTGAATCCCTCATGTCTCATAAGTCATTTCTTACGGTAATTCTCCTGACACCAGGCACCTTTAAATCTCCTACAGTGTGTGGCCGGGCATTTCTAAGTGATTGAACTGGATGGTTTTCTACAGCCGGGCTTTTTGCACTCAAGCTTGTGTGTATAAAATGGATTTGCCAGACTCTGATGAGAGCGTATCTGTTTTTTTCCTTCCGCGGCAATCATCTGAAAACAGTTTACCTGCCGCTGCCATTTCCCATTACGCTCTGCTATTATTTATATTCCATTATTTTCCCAGCACTTTTTGTTCTGTGTGAAAGCGGGGCAGAGCTTCATCAGCCCAGTGTCACTTTCCTGGAGACACGCCGCATTAGGACCACTGTACGGATGCTAGTCGATTGCCTCCGTTTCTTATTCACATGATGGAGCAGCCGCTTAAACCCACTGCCCCCCTCCACCCCTCCATTACGCTCCGTCTTCCCCGTCTCTCCTTGTTGTCATGTTGTCCTACCTACCTCCCCTGCTTCTCATTGAATCCCAACACTGCTCATTTCACTTTCTCCTTCGTTTCCCCCAAAATGCAGTTACATTTCTCAGACGAACATGCACTATGATAAGCTCTGTTTTGCAGCTATGAATCAAAGTGATGCTCTGTGGCCGGCCGACAAAGTGTCCAGGAAAGAAGCCATGTTCTGAGAAGAAACAATCGGCAGATAAAGAAAAAACACCTTCTTTCTCCTTTCCTAAAACAACTAAACATGATAATAGTGTACTTTTTTTCACAAGTAGTCTACAGTATGTACTACATATTTCATATTATGGTTTCGAAATTGTAATTTGGAATAGTAACAAATTATATACTTATTTGGTTCCTCACCATAATCATTGTATGTAGGTATTTTTTGTATTATTGTGAAGCCCTATTATGATTAGTACACAATACATTGTACAGACAGGAAATCAGGTGTTGGCTAAAGTCTAGTTTGGACGTTGGGACGCCTTAACCAACATCATATTTGAGACAGGACTATGTGTATATTTGTGAACCCATTTCCTTTCCATGAAACATTACCCTAGTTTCCTTTTTTTCAGCATGTTCAGTCTGCAAACGGTGTGACCATGATTACAGTGTTATTCCCCAGGACCCCCTGGTGCTAGTGATGGCTCAGAGGGTTGTGACACATGTCATTGGGTGGAAATGTGCATTGTTCAAATAAAGGAGATAGCCTTCGACATCCCCGCTGTCACATTTTAGACACGATAATAAAATCAAGAAGGCAGGCACTTTTTGGACTGCACGCTGCTTTTAGTTGTTTTGTGCCTTTCTGTACGCAGCTTTCTCATTTTATATAACAGTGCGTCTGCTTATGTAATGCTGAACTTATCTGTTGTAAAGTTCTATCTCAACTTCTGCATTGATGCTTCCAAGATGGTGGGTGGAAGGGGGAGGGAGTGATCCAGTCAGTGATCTTCACTGCTGACAGGGTTTTGTTGCCTCAGAATTGAAGTTATTATCTCTCAGCACACATCACTATTGTGAAATTGATTCAGCCGCGATCGTTGTGCTCCAGGAGACGAGGCTCCTCTGTAATCTGCAGCACTTTGACAAGTAATAATTTGAGCTGTTCCTTGCATCATACTGTATGTTAATCGGCATGCCGACTAAAGGATTTAGTAGGACCTTGCTCGTATTGTCAGCAGAAAACTGATGAGGAGAGATTAATTTAGTTCACTTAAGAGACGATAGAGAGACAATTTGTTTGGTAAAGAACATAGAGCTACTTTGGGAAGTCTTTGTTACCACATGGAGTCAGCTGCAAGCCCTCAATGAGGTATCATGGTTAGGACTTTTAGATTTATTTAACATAAAAGTAATATGACTGACAACTGGAATGACATGACTTAACAAAAGGAAATTGAAAGCCTTTAATATTAATGTTAGATTGTGAAGCAGAAATGCAAATGACTGAATAATGAATCCAACAACAGTATACGGTGACATTTTCTCCCAAAAGCAACACAGATTAAAGGGTCTAGCTAAAACTGTATCCGTTGTTTTGGTTACCAAGTTATGCCAGGTCACTTATACAAAAAAAAGAGTAAGATGAATTTGTTTGAAAGGATCCTGGTGTTGGTCTCATTTAAAGAGTTTGAAAGGAGAGCTCTGAACCTTAAAGTTTTCCCAAAAGCCAGAATGAGTCTAACAACAGTGTTCATGATATTTCCATATCAGCTGAATGAATGAGGTTGCTGATAGCAGCGGCTATAACAGAGTTTGTCTATTTGATAACGTCTCATTCATATTGAGCCTGTAGCTATCAAGAACATGTAAAGCCTTTTTGGAAAGGAGTGGGCCATTTCATCTCAGAGCTTCCACACCTGAAACCTGACTTTTCTGTAACCTTGTTGAACATTGGAGATATCCCTAAAGGCATTGTCCAGAGGAACTCTCGCCCAACTGCTTTCCTATTTAACATGATCAACTTTCTTCGCTCAATCGTTGGTATAACCTTTACTCTCCAACTGAAGAAGGAGAAGGGGGATGAATATTTGGGAAATGGGATTGTTATTAGCGTCTTGGATCCTAACAATGTCTTTTTGTATGAACTCTTTTAAATGCATTGTGAACTATACCTGTGACTTAAATGTTAGCCTGTAATCTTTTCACGTAGAGACTTTTTAAATGACTCTGCTGGAGTAATATCAGCTTTTATAACGGCAGTGTTTTTGATTATCTCTAGTCTGAAATGAAAGCTAAGGTTCTGCTTGAGTTTTGTGCTGCACAAGGATTGCTTGATCATTAAGATCTTAAAACCCAATCAGTCTGATTTCTCAAACCACAGAGCACATGGTAATGCATTGATCTGCAGAGGGATTGCACATACTGCAAGCTATCAGAAGGCAATGAGGCACAGCCTGGGGCAATTCTCAGTCGAAATACGTTAGAAATGTGTTTGTTGTGTGTGCGGTGGGATCTGTTTGGTCATTTGGAGTTTCTGCACTCAGGTACTGCTGGATTGGTTGTTTCTCTATACTCTTGACTTTTCTACCAATGTTAGTCCTACTGTACTTTGAAATTCACTGCTTCAACCTCACTGTGTTTGTTTACCCTGAATGTATTTATGTAGGCATATTTGAGAGCCTTTTGAAATCAATGGAATTACACTTTTCTCTTTGAACTTGCAATTATTTCTGTTGTTAGAATTACAAATGTCTGACTCTCCTCTCCTCAGGTGCTGAAGGGCAATAAAAAGCTCAGCCTCTCAGTGCGATCAGTCGGGCGGATTCCAGGCGGCTACGTCACCAACCACGTTTACACCTGGGTGGACCCTCAGGGCCGGAGTGTGTCCCCTCCTCCTGACCTGACGGTGCATCGCAGCGCCACCCTGAGGAGAACTGACAGCCAGCGGCGCAGCAACATGCAGCTTCTGCAGGACGGGGACGAGAAGAAGGTGAGAGTTTACACGGGGAACACAACACTGGAGTGATGGAAATGTGTCTGTGTCTATTATTTTTAAGTACATTTTTTGAAAGAAATACAAAAGGAGTGAAATATTCATATTCTGAATAACCTGTTCCCAGTATTGTATCTAATGATTCATAAGAAAACATATGTTATTGGTGGCCATGACTTTCATTTGTTTAAAACATTTGCAAAATGCTAGCTTTATTATGCTAATGAGCATCCCCCTCATTTTTTCTTTTTTTTACCAAGCACATGTAATCGTAAATAAGAGAAATATGACTACAAAAATAAATGTTATGGGCACAGTAAAAGGTATTCAACTAATACATGTCTGTGTGCTCCATCTTTTTCTCTACAATCATGAGGTAAGATCCAGTACAGTGGATAAGTATGGAAATGGGGATCCTAGTTATTATCTGGACACTATGTCATTATATAACGCCCTTAGTATCCAGACACTACGCCATTATGTTACACACTTAAATTGCAAGCTGATTAAAGGTTGACATATTTTAGAATTGATTTATTCTGATTCAAGGTTCTTTATTTAGTCATACGAACATAGCTACAGTGTAGTTATGCCGATGAAAATCTCGAGTCACAGGCTTCTCCAACAGTGCAACACAAAACACAGATAAACAGACAAATATAGTGCAAGTAAATAGTAATACAAAAATATATATATTACATGGAAAATAATCCAGTTAGGTGGTCTTCAATGGCTTTACTGGTATTTTAACTGCCAACTCCTTATATACTATGTGTACTGTGTAAATGAAAATATGCTAATATACAACATAACATTTCACTAATTCCGTTGAGTTAGTGATCTACTGGATTCAGAATAAGCTTACTTTGGAAATGATAGATGGTAATATATCGATAGGTTGTATTGATATTTAGATCTCGCTTCACTCTGTTCTTGTTTCTTAAGCCCTCGGCCTAGAAGACTAGAAGAATATATGAAAAACGATCTTTGAGGAGGCTGGACTTCAGTTTAATATACTCACACGGTGTGCTCCTAAATGATTTATCCGGTTCACACATTTCTATTTTTAGGGGGTGAAAGACTCGCACTGCAGAGCCCTGAAGCTAAGCTAAAGTAAGCAACAAAATATAAAAGTCCTTGATCTATAAATCATAAATACCATAAGAGAATATAATAAATGTCTTATTCAATTTCAAGTTTTGCCACTGTAACAGCAGCATTCTTTGAACACACCTTCACACTATCTACAACCCTGACCCTAACTTTCATATTACCTAATGACGTTTTCTCCCAGACATTCAACCAAATCAGTGTCTGAATATTTTTGGTTCTAATAAATAAGTTAATTACTTTCAGGATAATTCTTTCATTTAGCTTGCAAAGCCCCTTTTTTCAGTGAAACTATTCAAATGCTCACCAAATAATCAGATTCCAACACATGTGACCAGGGTGACTTTAATGGAAGTCTGTATTAATAATATAATCACTTTGTAACTCTCGCTTTTATTGGCTAACGCTCCAACACACTGTACATGATGGGCTAAGGGGCGGGACATCTCCAAGCGGTTGACCAATCATAACAGAGCCAGCTAGCTAACCAATCAGAGCAGACTGGGCTCTGGTTTCAGACAGAGGGTGAAAAGAGGTGCTGCAGCACAGGCAGTATGAGAGAAATAAAGAGCTTTTTGAACATTAAAGCACGGAGGCATGTCACAGGAGAGGCACAGAATACAAATTGTAACCTGAAAATTAGCATACTATGTCCTTTAAAGAAAATTACAATAGTAAGTCTCAGTAATTGACATACAGTAGATGATGGAAATAGAAGAAAAAACGTAAACCGTAAATGTAATTGTACCTTCAGTCCCACAAAACTCCACCCTGTCACCACCTTACAACCTGCAGCGAAGGAGCTGTCAGAGCTAAAAGATTTATTACACGAGAAGTTTCCATTTTTTAGCAGCCAGGAGCCACACATTAATCTTACCTTCTTCAGATCCATTCATTCAGGCTGAAGTTATAGCGATGCAGATAACGCTCCGAAATCATAATTCAGTGTCTATAAGATAGTTTCGCCATTTAACCTTCTTTGCTTTTAAAAAGAAAAAACGAATGTCAATTTCTGATTTTAAGGTTCTTTTGAAGATGTCATTTAAATTCAAAACTAATGCAAATTATACATGCAGCGCTAATTAAACTGTTTATAATGTGTGTAATATTATAATATCCTCCTGTGATTACATCAATTTGTCTGTCCAATACAAAGGCTTCAATTACTAACAAAACAAACAACACACATGACTAATTTCAAAGAGAAATGAGCATTATTAAAGTGATTCAGTGATAGCAGCTGATGCCAGAGAACACTATGAGCTCCTAAGGGCTGCCAATAAAAGAAGGATGAAGCTCGTAATTAAAACCTTCTCCTGCATGAATGTCACAGAGAGCATGAATCAGCCATCATCCCAGTGGCTGGCTCAGCTCCAATAAGCAGACAGTTGTTATTAAAAAAAACAAAAACGCTGCAGCGTGCCTTAAGATTTGGAGGAAAGTAGGATTTCAGTGCCAGATGCCTTACCTTCACCGGAGGGACATTGTTTAATAGAGATATTTGCATACGTGTCAACTCGTAGTTGCCAAAGTGCTACTCAGCCCGCTTTTCAATCTTGGGAAAGAGACAGCTTCATTAGGATCAAACCAAGTAATCAATAGGCCCCTTTGTGATGGAGGAAGATGTATCATTTAAAGTCTGGCACGACTCGAACTCTCCTTGTGAAAAACTTTAATGTCTTTGCTCTCCAAATAAATATAGATTTGAAACCGCTGAGTTGAGTTCATCCAAGTATACAGAATGATAGACAATGTGTTTTTGAAAGGCTGTTGATTTCATTAATAAGTATTGTTCTACTTCAGTTCAATCAAAATAAAAGCGATACATTTACTTGAAATTAATGTTTAAAAAGTTGTCGTCAATTGATCGAGGATTCCTGAAGGACTCCTGTTGGCGTTGGCCTCATCCTTTTCACTCGTGGTTAAAACAAATATGGTTTGATTTGAAAGGTGACTTAATGCTGGAGGCTGCATAACACACTACTGTCATTTTAATTAAAAGTCAGGCAATAATTGGCCTTTTTCAATCATGGTCTTAATGTGTGCTGGTCCTGGCCTGATTCTGTGAACAGTGAAAGTTGGTTACCTGGCTAAGAAGTTGAGGTTTGTATTCCGTCGCTCTTCATCAGCTCACAGTGGTTATTCCTGACTCTTCAATTACCCCCCTGCAATATTTCAAAACCATTTGCTGTCAACAAATGCAAAGAAGGCTGTCATCTTGTTTTGTAGATGCACTTATGATGAACGCTAATGGTCACTGTAAGGCTCCCTTAAAAAACGCACTGCATTTTCCTGACTACTTCCATTCAAAGTCAACGCCAGTTAGAAGCTTTAATGTGAGGCTGCAGAAGAAGGACATGTTCGTAGTCATTGACATGTTATCTCTGACATGTCACTTCAAACACCCTTGTTCGTAATACTGCAAACATACATATATTCCAATACTTTCATCCTGGGCAATAAGAAAGAAAGAAAGACTTTTACAAATCCTAGAGGGAAATTTCAATTCTTCACTCTTTTATTTTTTTACATTTCACACAAAGGTTGAAATACACACATGGACAGTTGGGGGTTCGGTGCCTTGCTCAAGGGCAGCTTGTCAGTGCTCAGGAGGTGGACTGGAAATCATATTTAGTCGAATCGTGCCTTGAACTGGCGACCCTATCAGTTTCAGAGCCATATCCCTACGGACTGAGCTAATGCTGCCCCTATAAGCTCAAACACTGTTATGTAACGTCATTCGGCGATAGATATAAAACGATTTAAATGGAAATCGTCCAGATTGACACTTAATTACAAAGTTTGACAATCACCAGGATGTAATGTTGTGTGCCAAGAACAAAGATGGCTTTGACATTAGAAGATTACTGAATTAAGTGGTCTAAAGGCTCAGATAGCGGCTGAGTTGAGGGTAACTCTTGATGAGATGAGCCAGAGGCCCCAAACGAAAAAGAGCAGATTATACCTGATGGAGTATAAAGCAGTTTTTATCAGACAAATGAACCCTTCATCAAACCCTATAGCCTCCGGAAGAGAGAGCAAATAGGCCTTCTCAAAGCTTTCAAAGGCTTTCATAGATCAAGCCGGGCTGGGAGGTTAAGACCTGTAGTATGTAGCTATATGATCTGTGGAAACCATCATTAATCTGTGCAGGTTCACTCCTTCATTAAATAAATGGGAGATCAGCAAATAGGTTTTTCCTGATCAAAGAGTTCTTGGCGAACCACATTACGATGGAACTATATGATGGCCAGTCCAATTATCTATTATGTCTAATGAGTTGTTGCAACAATTGTTGGGTGAACACCCATTTGTGACACAGATTTGGTTCTACATTTCCAAATTTTAAGATTTTAAGACATTCTTAAGACAAGATATTAAGACACTGAGACCTTGAGGATCGCCTATAAAAGAGTTCCAAGTACAGGTGAACCAAAACAGAGTTAATTGAGCGTGGTAAAGATGTCTCTTGCAATGGTATAAGGATTTAAGCTTCCTGCTAAAGTACTGGATGAACACCAGGGGTAGTTGTCCAATTAATACCGGTTGGTGGATTATGTTATAATGGTTGCTCTCTTATCACAGGGATTGAAATGGATGAGTTTTGTAAACAAACGGATTGACCAATTCAAACGCTCCTTTCTCCAATCAGAACAAAATCCCTTTTTATTAATAGCTCTGAGGCACCACACTGAAACTCTCTATTTTCATCCGGCAAATCCCAGCTCAGAGCAGGGCTGTCATTTATTTTATGCGGTGTGTTTCACATTTCCATTTTAAATGTTGATATTTAAGAAGTGTCTGGTTCGTTTAAATATTTAACCCCTGCTTCTGCCGTCTTTATCTCTTTCTCTTTCTGTCTTTCATAGGTCAACTTGGTATTGGACGACGGCCGGTCTCTGGGTCTGATGATCCGGGGGGGGGGCAGAATATGCGCTGGGGATTTACATCACGGGCGTGGACCAGGGATCAGCAGCAGAGTGTGGAGGACTCAAGGTATTACTTTAATCAATCTTACACTTGCAGCCTCACACACCGCCTCACTTTGATCTAACACACGAAACTGTGAATTTGAGATAATAATGGTCTTGCAATGGAGTGCGAACAATGACTCTCTCCCTCTCTCGATAGTGGTGCAAGTAGGACGCATCTTTGTAGCTTATCATTTCTTAACCGTAAATGCAATTTCCAGAAGTATGAAGCTAATGCCCGTCTATATACTAAATACATAACGGTCAAGTGACTTCAGGTCGCCACCGCTAAGCTAACAATGGCTAATGTTTGATGTGATTATGTTCAGTAGTCTCGTTCAGCTTATAGAACACATAGAAGCTTCAGGCATTCACTGGTTGGGTTTTTACTGCTGTATTGTTAGGTTGTAGATCAAAACGTGATAATCTTATAAGCTTGTACAGACCTTGGATCAGGCATCTAACGAAAACCACATTACAAAAAACATTGACCTAAAGACGAGCGAACTAGAAGTGCTGAGTCGCTGACACATTTCTGGGTTATAGGTTCAGATTTCTTAAGCCTTTCAGCACATTTCTCCTCACACAGGTTTCGTTCCTAATACACGTATACTGAAAAAGAAGCTGTAGCCTGTGAATTTAGTTTTTTTTTAACTTTCTGTAAGCCATAGCGACAATATTTTTCAGTTTCATCTCACAGGCCATACAACTATTAAACACCTGAACTTTGAAACAACATCCATAACATTAATCTGGCTGCTACTTAGAAATTATTTATCTAATATATCATATTCCAATCACTTGTATAGACTCTTATTGCACTATTTCTTCACTACTTTTTTTTACTATTTTTCTTTTTGTATTTATTATTTACTTGCACTATTTCTTTCTGTTTTTCTGTGTTATTGTGTTGCACTGTTGGAGGAGCCTGTGACCTAAGATTGTCATTGTCATAACTACACTGTAGCTATGTTCGTATGACCAATAAAAGCCTTAAACATTGAACCTTGATTAGGACTATTTCGTAAATAATAGGATATTTTCTTGCAGCTGTGGGCCCTTTTTCATCTCTAACTATCCTCAGAGTTATTGCAATTGGGCACGGTCGCTCAATATCTTTGACAATAAAGAGCATCTATTGATCCAGTGGCCTTGTATTTTGGACAAAGAGTGAAGCTGTGGAGTAAATTATCTTCCTGTGAGGCGCACTTTCTATACAAAGGAGAGACCACTGGAAAGATTTGATATAACAGTTACTTCCTGTGTATGATTTGAAACCCTTTAAAAACAGGGACGTACATTTAAAGAACATGAGTTTATCGACTATAACATCCGTTCAGCATTTTGTATCTACGCTGTACACACCAACAACCCAGGACCCTCCTTCAAACAAAAGAAAAGCTATATGAAATAAGCTTTTTTAGTGTGCATCTGTAAAACGTTATTTGATTTGACATCCTGAGGGGGCTGAGATTGCTCTCACCTGCTGTCCTAACAGGGATGTCAGAGCCCAGGATCAGGTGCAGAGCAGCTGCTGGGGATTTAAAGTAGGACATTAAAAAGTGCAGAAAAGCCATGAGGGATCAGGCTGTATCCGCACTAGGCCCCTCTAAGATTAGATCCCTCTGTCTAACCAGTGAAATATCTACAATATCTCTGTCCTGAGAGGACATTTCCTTTTTTAAATATTTCATTCACAGTGATAGGACAACGCACCGAGTTATTTCAATATGCCACTTTCTCTCCTTTCAAAAGTGATGTTGATGTACTACTTTGGGCTATTTTCTGGCAAGTTGATTTTCCTTTTCTTCTCCACCGGACAGGCTGTTAAAAAAATAATTGCTTTTAGGTGTGTGAACAAATTCAAAAGTAGCATATGGTGTTTGTTGGATGCATTGTACTGTGAATACACTGCCTTCACATTGGGCATCAAGTCCTGAAAAGTAAACTTCTTTTTTTTTTGTAGTAACACTTAGGAATAGTTTCTTGAACATATGTACGTTTTCCCTATGAGAGACGGAATGAGGGAATGAATGAGGATGAATGAGGGAATGAACAAATATGTTATTTATTTTCAAAACATCCTTAAATTGCTGGAGAGATATTTTGTAGTTTGGGTTGCTCTTGTAATTGTGTAACAAATGGCATACTGTAATGCATCTATAAAAACAACAACTTCCAGATTCCAGATACAGGAACAGGCAGTTACACAACATACAAATATCATCCTGAAAATGAGCATAATTTAGCCCCTTTCATATATGTGTTCACCATATTGGGCCTTATGATAACAAAATGATTAATCTCTCCAATATTGTGAATCCTACATTCATTCAATCAATCAATCAATCAATGTTTATTTATATAGCCCAATATCACAAATGTTACATTTGTCTCAGTGGACTTTACAGTTTGTACAGAATATCAGTATGACAATACGACACCCTCTGTCCTTAGACCCTCACATCGTACAAGGAAAAACTTCCGAAGAAAACCCACAGTTTAAAGGGAAAAATGGGAGAAACCTCAGGGAGAGCAACAGAGGAGGGATCCCTCTCCCAGGACGGACAGACGTGCAATAGATGCCGTGTGTAAATTGAAAAGATAATACATTTGCAACATTCATTGAGTTTGTTGCTGTTAACAGAGACTCGAGTGTGCAATATAGTAAAAACACATCACTGATAAACCAGAACAAATTAGATTTTTACTAAAGGCTTTACAGTACATAACCTTTTTGTATCTCTCTATATTCTTACGCTCCGACTCTCTCGATCATCCACATGGTCTTTCTCTCTCTGTCTCTCTCTCCCCCAGGGGGGTATAAAACCTTTAAACATTAGGTTAATACTCTGCCAAGCCTCTAGCAATCTATACAGTAGTTGCCAGTAAAATAATCATAAATCACACTTCCCAACGTACAAATGACCTACAAGTGTCACTGTACAGCAGCAGTTGCTTTATGTAATCTACATTGACGGTTCACCCCTCTCTTCACGGCTCTGTCTAATACATATTGTGTATTTGTTGTTTCAAAACACATAAGTACGATATCAAACATAAACAGGGTACATACTGATTCTTTAATTTCCAAGGTATTAAATTGTCAAACCTTAGATTTCAGAGCAGCCTCCGTAGGTTTTGCTTACAGATTTGTGTGTCACGGTGACATGGCAACCGAAGGAGAGTGAGGATGGACGCCTCTTCCCCTGAGCCCTTCATCTCACACCTGTTAGTGATCCGCCTGTCAACCAGCCAATTACACAGGCACCTATTAGACGGCCCACACAGGCACCCACACTCACACACAGCGTCTGTGTGTGGAGTGTTGTTAGCAACCAGAAAGGCTTCTGATTATTAAGAAAGGGAAGGAAAAACAGGAGGTAGAAAGGCTTTAATATCCAGTGATACGACGTGCACGAAATACTGCTTTATTTAATATATGCTGCTTGCAAAGTGCCTTAGATATTGTATTTTAGGATTTTTTCGTGGCCACATTTTTCTCCCCTTACCTCAATTTATGTGCCTATAGCTGCATAATATTTTGCATCAAATTCTGTCATTTCTAAATACTAAAAACAATTCAGGGCGGCTTTCATTAAACCCTAAACGGGAAATCACATATAAATATTTGGGAAAACTTATTTATTGCTATTTTCTACATGACACTGTTATTATACCCATGTTACACATCAATACACCCCTATTACACCATGTTTTGCACCAATAATACACCCTTATTATTCCCATGTTCCATTGCAACCATATTACACTGTTATTAGACACATAATGCACGGTAATTAAACTGTTATTACACCCGTATTGAACCCAATATATCCCAATGATGCTGTAATTAGACCCACTTTACATATGATATCACCCGTATTACGCCCATGTTACACTGTTATATTGGACCAATATTACGTACTGCCTGTCAAATTACTGGTTAAAGGTAAAAAAACAAGCACGTTTATTCTTGAGTCTAGGGATTAGAGAAAGAAACAAATATCTTAATAATGCACATGTTCCTTCCTGTTGTGCTGTGTTTCATCCCTGTTGTTTATTTTGAGTGACGAGTAGACACCTGGCATTATCTTCAGGACCAAATTGGGGACAGAATGCGGGGGAGGCGAGTGTGTGTGTGTGTGTCGCACTCACTCAGGAAAATAGTTGAGACACACAAATACTAAACCTAAGGTCACAATGTTTAAAACTATGAGCTGAGCTGGCCATAAAATGGGTAACATACATATTGAATATATTATATCTCCAAGGAGCTCATTAGTTTATAAGCCCGTCTCTGTTGACATCAGCAGCACGGTCACGGCTGCTTCTTGCATTGTTAGTGCTGAGAGCAAGTTCATTAATATATGTGCACTGTAAACAGGGCCTTAAAGGAAAATTCGAAAATACACCTTAATCTAAACAACCGAGATGGAAACTAAATGATAGTCCTGAAGGATATTTACACAGGCGCTGCAGGAATAAGGCAAGGCGAATCATTGAGGCTGAAAGGCTAGAGCTTCTATCCTTATGAAACTAGGATCCTAAACAAGTTCACTATGACATGTAATCATAATTTATATGTCTACATGTATAGTATAATGATTACCGATAAATAACGATAGCTAGCGACTATATGTCCAATAAAAACGACTCGCTGGTATTGCTAAACCTGACCATTTTAGGACCATACACTATTATATATAAAATAATATGTGTTATCCACATGAATGGACTAATGGCAACACATGTTGGTGTCAGCCCATTAAATAGGCATTATCAGGGGATATTTCTAATATTCTATTACTGTACGTCGCATGGCCCAAATTGCACCTACTACAGTATATTGTACAAAACAACATATAACACATTAAAAAACTGAATTCATTGGCACAGACACAGGTGTTGGCAATTCAACGAGGGCTTTTTCCTTGTGTTTTATGTCCCCTTCGATTGACCCCACACATTACTCATGGGAATTGTTGACCTGACTTCCGCCTTTTATAACTATAACTAGCAGTA